AAGCTTTGAATAAGAAAACAAATTCTCTTTATGGGGTTCTGTGGTTAGCAATATATTCTTTATATTTAATAAATTAAGCAGGCTGGCAATTAGGCAATAAATTTCTTCAAATAAAGTTCACAAGTTTATCTTTCTAGCATCCATCCCCTTACAGAGAGATGGGTGAGGTTTATAAAAAGGTCAGAAGGTGATTTTTCAATTCACATTCCTTTGATATGCTGCAAGAGAGAAACCTCTACTTCCCAATCAGAAGGCGGGACACACCCCTGATAAAGAGGAAAGCATGACCAGAGAGGAAAGCTTCTGACTACATTTTTCATTTTTCTATTTTGCACAATACTTTACTTCCTTCACCATACTTCCTTCATTGTTTCTGGCAGACAGCTGGAACCCTGATCTCTCAAGGCTAAAAGAATCAAATACAAAAAACCCTAGTTGGTAGGGGATGAGAGGCTTATGAAAACAATACGGACATTCAGTAATCTCAAACATGAATTAAATTAGATATCTAATCAGCAAATTCTCCCACAACACTTCTCCCTCAACACCTCCATCTGTACACAAAGAGAGATACCTAAGTGTAAAGAATTCTCTAACAGATGGAAAAATACTTCTGCTGCTTCCTCATAATCCCTTCTAGATCATTTGCCACCATGACAGGTTCTTTTACAATACTGAAGAAGAAACCGATGTGTTGGAAAGGCTTTTCTAGCTCTATTGTAAGATAAATTCTTGTTGGCCTTTAAAAGGGCTGACACGATCACTTATTCCCTTGTATACTTGGGGTCTACATCCCAAAAGAAGTATTATTAAAAATTCTGGCAAAATGCTATTACAAATTCCAAACTAACTCAGTGTTGACACAAACACATGCCTTAATAAAACATGCCTCACCATTTGAAGGGGTAACTGCAAACCAACTGTATCTCTTCTTGATTCAACAAAGACAGTATAAAAAGAAAAAAAAATTAAAAAGCAAAACAAAAAAGTAAAAAAAATGGCAAATGCATAAATAACACTTTTCCCCCCAGGTATTTCTTCTTCCAAAAACCAATGTTCTCTTCTGCTTTGTTCAAAATGTATACAGCCCAGCTATACAGTTATTAGTATATAGGTATAAAGTGCATACTACTTTGGTGTTGAAGAAAATGTGCGTGCTTTCAGATCTGTTACTACAGAGTTGTTATAAAGAAAGATCTGACTCTTCTTCAGAGGATTCCTGTGTTTTATCAAGGAAACTCATGGCTCTCCTATTTAACCTGCTAGATAAATTCCCTTCCTGTTAGCTGCTCTCATTTGACTTTGTTCATCTGAGAACTCTTGTCACACGCAGCCCAGGTAGATCCAGCTGAGGCAACCATCCAACTTCCCTGTAGCCACTGTCCAGATCTGCAGCTCTGTTACAGGTTATCAGTAAAGCAGCAGGGTCACCAAGGGAATGTACGACTATGTTCCAATTCATAGTGTCCTCTACCAGTCTTAATTGGGGATTAAAGAGGATGTAAGCTAGAATGCTGCAGTATGTATTAGATTACTGAGCCACCAGCTTTTTCATCATTTAATGTTAGAACCAGCACTTGAAACAGTCTGGGAGGAAAAAAAAAATCCCATCCAGAAGAGAAAAACTTGTAGAAACATGCAGGACTGCTCTCCAAAAGCAGGGAGTGAGAGAGGACTGCAGTCTGCACTGATTCCACATCCTCCTGCAGCTTTATCTGGTGTGTAGGGGTTACCTATTGACAGCAAGATCAGATGACCTTGCAATTCCAGCTTGTGCACCAAATGACAGAGCAAATTTAACAAGGTTTCCCCTCCTGAAAACTGAAAAATTAGTGCTATTTCAACTTCAGCTCTGATTCCCCCTTCCTCATGTTTAAAATTACTTGCATAAAGAAGTGTTCGGAGTTTGCCAGAAGACATGGAAAACAGGTGCATAAACTGTCTGATACATGACAACTTTGCATAAGTACAACGTTATCCTGGGGCTATGCCTAAGAAAATGACTGGAGACTGATTCGTAGGAAAAGTGGCTATACCACACAGATATATGAGTAATTACTAGTTGAACGAGAACTAATTCTACAAAGAGCTATAGCAATTGTTAGCCAAATTGAGTCTGTCGTGGCAGATGCTAAAATAATTGCTATGGGAGATTACAGGCCATACCCAAGCAGTTAATTCATTAAAAGTGTAATATTCAGAATGGCAATGGAAGAACAGACAAAATGGTAGTAAAGAGAGCACATTTTTTTAAAGAAACAAGCACTACTGCCCTCCTCTGTCACCCTCTAGTTCTCTATTAATCTGAACAATTTATGCTTCAGTTACAGCTCAAAACTACATATGTTTGCTTACCAGCAGGCCTGTACGAATTTCCCTATGTCTTGGGTTTGGAAAAAACAAAGAATTTTGTTTTGTTTTTTACAGTTATCAGTGTGAAAAATACACAAAGTCATTGTCCCTGCTTATAAATCCCTTGCATGAAAAGAGTGGAGTATTGTTAAAAAGCTGTGACAGCTACTGTTGCAATGGACAAGATATTTCAGCAAAAAGAGTCCTCAAAGATTTACAGAGGTGCTGTTTACAGAAATGTCTCCATGAGTACTTGCAAGGAAAAAATATATATTCCACATGGAAGGGTTTTTTACCAAGGCTTGTTTTGCTTGCCTCCATTAAAGAGAAGAGAAAAGCTCCCAGACAATTTGTCTCCCAGTATGAACTAACCCGTGGCTCTACTCAGATGCAATTCCTGCCAGAGCAAAGGCTCATTTACGTCCATCAACTTCCACAAGATAGAGGTTATAGAGAATGTTATTGGCAAATAGATCACATGCTGGCTGGCTGCAAAGGTGCATATAGCCCTGCAGAAAGGGTAGCTGCTTGAAGGAGAAAGAAAATTATTAGACACTTGATTTATTTTGCATTTTTCTCAGAGTTTTGAATGCAGGCTGTTAAAATTGATCTATCCCTAAAACTGGTCTATCACTGAGCATTGATTACTTGTACATGTGCACCTTCGGGACACAGCAATAAAAAAATACCATTTCATTTGGTACAACTCACTGTAGAGGAAATGATGCCTGACATAACACAGATAAAAATAAATATTAGACAAATATACACCAGAATGCTGCATACCAAGAACTCCAAAGTGACTTTTACAATTTTATAAGCTTAGATGTGTGTGAAAGAAAACAGTAAAATTTTCTTTGCAGGCAGGTTACCAATCTGACCTCATGCTGAATAGTACTTTACTAAAAAGCACTTTACAAAGCACACCACTCAATTTGCAGTTCAACATGATGCAACAGGAGAGAACTTATTCCAAAATGTGGAGTAAAAAGGCTTTTCTGCAGGTGTTATGCAGAAGTTCTGCAGAAGTGATTAAGTAAAACAAGTCTGTAGCCACATTCCCAGTCACACAGGGATATACAAATTAGGTCCTCCTGAATTGCTTCTGGAAGTGACAGCAAACCAACTAAGTGCTGTGGCAGAAACCTATGAAACCTATTTCAATTAAACAAAGAAATAGGTCACTGTGCAATGCATTTGATGAGTTTTCTTAAGAAAGAAAGCAATTTCTCAAGAAAGTTTTGTGCACGTCTAAGAAGAGCATAGAGGAAAAAATGGGTGATTCTAAATATCAGATTTTACAGCCTCTTGGACAAACAAATGAGAAAATCATGTCCTATCAGGTGAGATATTTCAGCTCCTCAGGGTACCCCAAGATAAGAGACTGGGAAACTGGGAATCACAGCTGCACTGCAAGCAAGCCAGGACTGTCATGAGAGGCAATAGCATTGCCTCTCGTGTCTCCTCCTGCCTCAGCACCACCAACCATCCCCACCATTCTTCTCGAGGCAGCTGCTTTCATTAAACAAACACAGCAACTCTGCTAGCTCAATCTAGTCAGAAAGGAATTTCTGAACAAAGTGGTTTTTTGAAGGCTAGTGCAGAATCCCTACATTGCAGGGAAAATACATATTTGAAAAAAAGGTTGACAAATTTTCCCAACAATAACTGATAATTTTTGAGTTCAGAAAGACTTAGTTTTTCAAATACAATTCATTACTCCCCTCAACTGAGTTTTTCTATACGGTGATTAAATGTCTGTTTTCTGTTGCAAGAATCACCATCCAAAAGTTATAAAATAAAATCATGAGATGACTAGTGCTCCAACACATATGCATATTTCATTATACATGATCATATAAAAAACAGATACACTAGTGTAATTATCTGATTAATAGCTGTGCTGTGAATCCACAATATTTTCCCCTCAAACTCTCCCCTCAGATTTCAACACTGAAGATGTCCAAAGTGATAGAACTACCAGACACATAGAGGCAGGTAATTTCCAAATACTCCTGCTGCAACGTCTTCTCTAATCACCTGCTGGAAGACAGCATACTGTGCCACTCAAATAATGTTTACAATTAATATGCTTCTTCAAAACAGCCACTCCAATAAAGAAAGACTGTTATCCTCTATCAACAGAAGAAAGTACAATCAAAAGTAGTCACTATGTCAGCAAATGAGCCACTTTTCTGAAGACTGTATACTAAATGCCTCTTCTTCTGGAAAGAAAAGACCTTGCACAAATCAGGAAAATGCAGAGACAGGAATATTCCAGTTTGGATACCTAGCATGTTTTGGATAGAAAAGTTATGAAAACTGACTTACTTTTATATAAGCTTTTCGAAGATTGTCACTAGACCTGATTTCTTACCCAGGGATTTTGTCATTTATTCAAATAGATACACTCAGTCTGATCTTTAAAGCTGAGCTTTTATCAATTCTTAAAATGTATCTGATATGTATGTATAAAATAAACACTGTTCTGACAGTCACCTTCTCAGGTCATTGCATGGTGAACTTCACACAGCAACCTGGAGATAAGCAAATTGAACTGTAACAACAAGCTGAAATAATGTTTGGGAAATGCCTCATTACATCATACATTAATTTTTTGCTTCCCCTACAGACAAGAAGCAACAGACCTTACATTAGGGTCCTGCAGACTGGAGGTCTTACTGGGATTTACAAAAGTGGTCTCTTCTTTCACAGCCTGTTAAAAGAAGGAGCCAAAGTTTAGTACAAAGTCCATGCACTTAGGATAATACAACTGTTTATTAAAAAAATATTCCTGTAAGCACCTCAGAAAACTGCAGTACCCAAAATGCCTACTCTGTCCAGATTTAAAAGACATGACCTTTTTGGGTTTTCATCTCCTACAGCTAAGGTTCACTGTGATGAGGAACAATATACAATGTGCAGGGAAATAGTGTAAGGAAGAGATTGGTACTGAGGAAAAAGAAAGGAACACTGACATTTATGGCTCCTCCAGAAAATACTTGAGCAGAAATCATATAAAAATCTACACAGACAAGCACACTGTAATTGAGCTGTGCTTTCAACTGGAGTAGAATAAATATTTATTCTGAAATAATGATGCCAACTTTTCATTCAGTTTTTGGAAACCTAACTTAAAAATGTGATTCCCTTCATATATTCACACTGTATGCACAATTCACAGAAAATCTCACCCACTACTGCTCCCTGCTAAATTACAGGGTCCTGTCTCTCATATGCCATTCTCATCTGTCAATTTGAAAATACTAGTATTGTGAAATAACTTACATGGATATTGCTTTATTAACTAAGAAATGCCCAATCTGGGCTGGTGTTGATATACTCTTCATCAGAGATGCAGAATTCCCAATCCATGTGTAAATGCCAATATGAGGACACTACAGAAAATACTGACTACAGAGACAAGAGTACTTTCAAATCAGTCAGGGACTTCTCAGACATTTGCACCCACTACATGAAGAGAAAGGTACTGAAATAGTCCCACAACAGAGTAGTTTTTCAGTGTTCTGTATCTGAACCACAGTAATTTGAGGCCGTAGGTTCAGATCAAATTAAATTAAATGTGTCAGTCTAATCCTCTTAAAAAAGGATGAAACAGATTTCTTCAAATCCATCAAATCCAAATCAAAGGATTTTACAGACATGTAAAAATGTTGTAATGTTACATAAGACCTTCCATTCAATAAAAATGGATATATTCCATTTGTGGGTACTCATAAGAAAAGGAAACAAAATCAAAGCTGAGTTTCTTCTATACCTTAGCGATGAACTAAAATAAAAATATCAGAAGGGATACTCAATGCTTGGGGAAATCACCCAAGCTGTGATAGTGTTGAGTTTGTTTTCCCTTTGTGCTAGGAGGAACAGAACCCTCAATGCCACTTCCTAGATTGCTATTTACCAGATCATCAGCCATAGTGGGAAGGATCTGTTCCAGCTTGTACACACAATTAACTGTATGGGCAGTTAAACTGGAATCACTGGGAACCTGACAGAAAGTGAACTCTGTTCTGGGTCTTCTCCAGCCCAGGCAAGTACCTGAAGTGATGGGTTAGAGGGCATTTTGGGACAAGTCCTTTAGTAGGAAGTTCATCTCTTCCTATTAGAACTGTTGAACCTTGTATGTTGATACTGAAACCCTCATCTGCAGAGAGGGGACCCTCTGACCCTCATCAGCAGGTTTATCCCTCTCCTAGGGGGTTAGTTTACACAGAGGAAACTGGTTTACAGCGAGGGTACTTGGAGGAGAACAGGATCAATAGTAGCTACTGGAGAAGCTCCACTCCAATGTAGTGCCCTTACATATCTGGTTTTTATCTCCCTCAGGCAGAGGTTTCCTCAGTCCTACACAAACACTCCAGAAATTAAGGAATCAGATAAATGTGGGACATAATCAGAACACCATCATCATTGTAACTCAGCCACCAAATGTTTTGCTGCTAAGGTTTTCAGTGAATTAGTGTCACATTATAAACCATTTGGGGATCAGGAGTGCAATTTTAAAATTTTAATAAACTTGTCGCTTTAAGAAATTCAGCTCAGCTTTAGAAAACGTTTTTTTACTAGTCTTCTAGTAGCTGTGTCTAGCATAATGTTTATTCAAAATCTATTGATTTCTTGAAAGGAAAGGGAAAAAATTAAGGACTTGAGAGAAAGCATTGAAGATCTTTGTTGGCATAGATGAGCAGTGGAAGAGATATTTCTTTGTTCTACAGAAATTACAATGCTTTTTATAAAGCTGTTCAGTTTCTGAAATCTGTAAATGTGAATCCAGCTGTCAGAAACCTAATATAAGGTCTCTTCTTCCACACTGATGTCTTAGCAACATTTTATTGTTAAGACTGTCAAGCTAGCTGCTTGTTATGTGTCAAATTGGTTATTTTTTAAAACTAGAAATTTTAGTTCATTCCAATTTTCACCGAAGTAATTGATCTGCATTTAAAGATGCATTTGAACACAACAATAGAAGAGAGATTACAGATATCAAGAATGCAATGCAGGGGTTGTGACCAGCAATGAAATTATTTAAATTCCACCTACTTAAATGTAATAAGTCATGGATCTCATTAGTCAGAGGAGAGGGCTTCACTGTGTTAGACCCTTGGTTGCTTCTCAGCTCTGTGACTACATTATTTCTCTCTTTTGTCTTTCCTCAATTGAAAGGCTAAGCCTGCATTTCAGGAAGGCATATATTCCTAAGCAGTATGACCAGCATCCTACATCAGTGAGGAATTCCTCTTAGTATTAATTTTTCTCCATTCTTACTCATGTTTTAGAAGCCAGAAAATACTCCTGTGCCCACAAAGAAGCACTGCAGACCAGCGAGCAAGTAATCCCACTCTAAATTGTAAGGAGAGAGGGAACATGCAAAGAAATGGGGGAGTCTGAACAGCCTCAGATGATGAGGTCTGCCCTCAGGGTGCCATGGGTGTGCGTTGGCAGGGACAGATTAACAAGGACGGGCTCATTCTTCTCACCTTATGCCTCTCCTCCCTTTCTGTGGATGACCAGACATAGGAAAATGTCGTATTTGCAAACCCTTCTGCAAAGGGCTTCAGCTGTCGGAAAGTGTACCACCCTTGCTTCACTTGGGACCTTATTGGCTTTTGGGCTGTTTGTTTCAGAAGGTCAGTAAGTCATCAACAGGCAGCCTGTTGCTTTTATTTTCTTCTTAACACTGCAAATCACATTCACTAACCACAGAAGGGCATTCTCAGCCTTACTGAAAAGACATGACTGTAGAACAAGGGTTCTGCTTGTAGACAGCCCTTGCAATATGATTCCCAGATGGTTTGCCTTCATTTGAAAACAAGTGCAACTGCTGGGGCCAGAATTTGGGTTTCCATTGCAGGATGCCTTCCAGTAATGGAGCAAGGGGGTTTAGCCAAGGGTAGCAAGAGGTGCCTGGTAGAGAATGTACAAACAGAGCTGGGCAGAGGCTCTCACCCACTGAAAGCCCAGCACTGAGCTGTGTAAAAAAGACAGAGGCAGAAGCAAACATGGAGCTGCTAAGATCTTAACTGTGGCAGATTCTCTCCTCCCACAGAGGCTGCTGCTCTGAGGGAGAGATTTCAGGGCACAGCAGACCTGGAAGCCAAATTTATACAGAAGGAGATTAATTAAATAATTACCCAAAGAGAAACACGCTACTTTTCTGGCTACCAGACTGCAAATCAAATTAAGAGTTGATCCATATAATCCATCCACACAATGCCATTCTCTTTTTAAATCTGCATCAGGTCCAGAGGAAAAGAAAAATCATTAATGTTCTGTTTTCATATGCCATTAACTTTCTGGATGATATTAGAAACAAAGAATTACTTCATCATTTTAAGCATTACTTTATACTGTTAAGGGACAAGAAACATGACTGGGCAGTAATGCCATTGTACAGGCTGTCTTCACAGATGATTACTAAGAGATAGTTTCACCAAAGGATGAAAAAGGGAGAAAAGTAACCAAATTTTCCCTACAGTTCACTGAGCCATCTATCTATGTGCAGCTGGGAGTTCTCAGACTGCTTTTCAGTCAACTCCTGAGTACTGCTAATCCCTGCTGCTGTCTTGGCAGCCAGGTCCTTTGGAGCCTTAGAGAGGGGGTGGATACTCCAGGGATGCTACACCAGACTCTGCTGAGCTTTCTAGAGGAGGTGGGAACACTTTCTGGCCCATGAGAGTAATCCCATGCATAAATTCATAAGCCCTGGTGGCTGGATTTTGCCTAGCAAACAGCAGCTCCTTCAATTTTCTTCTGAAGAAAGAGTTAGCCCCAGGGTAATGGAGGACAGAACCTTAAAATGGGAATTGGTTGCACCAAGCATGTACCAAGAGGGAAAATACAGTAAAGACAGAACTTTAGGTGCAGCCTTCTATGATTTTTGCCAGTGGGGCACTGTGCAAGGCAGTCTGTGTTCTTCATGCCTCAAGCAAGCAAATGGGGAGCTAGTGTCATTCATGTCTCTCCTCCTTCACAAGGGGAATTGCTGAGGCTCTCACCTCTACTGATCTAAAATAGGAGCACCTTGGATAAGCAAAAAAACTGCATGAAGAATCAGATCACTGCAGCCGAGGGAGAGTAACAGGTTCTCATCTGAGAAAGAAAGGGGTCTAGAAGGCTCATAGGAAACCTATGATGGCTCTTATTTAGCAATTTCACAAAGTTCGCAGTTGCAGAAAGGGAGAGCAGCACAGCTTTCACGTGTTTGGAGATCTTCAAAGGTAAGGAAGGAATGACTCTCACCACAGTGGCTGGGAAATACTTCTCTATCTTGGCTCTTTCTGAATCTGTAATTAATGTAAGGAGGCCTGAATCATTTGATTTTTCAGCTCTTTATCAACAATTTAATCTTTTGTCAGGCACGCCAAATGTTGGCTGATCTCATTAGATAATGCAGGCTAAGGAACATGTCATCAGGAAGAATGTTCTGCCAAGGTAAACCTACCTTAGTGATTTAATATGTCAAATGCAACTTTTCAGGCAGAAAAACATGATGTTTATGTCTCTCGAGAACAGACTACTCAGTTTTTTCCCCTCTGAACAAGGCCTGGCACCATGGGCTATGGCGGGGCTCTTACACATCAAGGCAATTAACAGTACTTGTCTCATCATGTCCTGGCACGTAGCGTCATGCTAGAGAGAAGACAGAGCTCACGTATCCAGAGCTCTGGGAGTCTTGTGACACCACTGCCACATTTC